TTATCACTCCCTTTGGGTGCTTTTCCTAGGCTTCTTTTTGCACCCCAAGTTTGTGTGGTAACTTCACACCTCCAGCCTGTTTTGCCCCTCTGGTACCTCTGGTCTGTTTTGCCCTATGTCTTGCCACTGGACCCACTCTCCCCAAATATTATAACCAGCAGGTGCCTTGTCTTAGGTTTGCTCCAGCTCTATGTTGAAATGCCGAGACCTGCAAACATCTGCCAGAAATGCGAGAAATTGGTTCGCTCAGTGGCACTGGGGTAATTAATTATTTCACTTCAGTAAAGTGGCCTGGAAAGGAAATAACACGTAAAAACCTTCATTGGAAGGCATTGATTTAAGAAAACTCTTAAGACACGACACGTTCGGGAAAGATAGGAATGCGATGAAATGGAAATAGGGAACGTGACTATATTTCATAGCAAAGATTTCCTGAATATGAAATATCTACAAGTAGGATCTGCAACAAAATGATGCTACATTTTCTCCACCACTTCCTGAATGAAGAATCACTGGTCAAGGCTTGAAGCCAGGCTGACTCTATTATAGAGAGGGGTGAGAAAGGAAAAAAGCAGGAGACAAAATGGAAAGGATTTAGTTTTGGATGATATTAGCCTAGTTTCTAAACTTCAGCATATATAGGGAATAGGGGGGGAGGTGACAAAATGAGAGCTTTTACATTTTATTGTCGAAAGCTTTCATGGCCAGAATTACTAGGTTGTTGTAGGTTTTTTGGGGGGGGGGTGCCATGTTCTAGAAGCATCCTCTCCTGACGTTTCGCCTGCATCTGTAGCAGGAATCCTCTGAGGATGCTTGCCATAGATGCAGGCGAAATGTCAGGAGAGGATGCTTCTAGAACATGGCCATACAGCCCAAAAAAAAAACTGCAACAACCCAGCTTTACATTGTGTTAACCTCACCCTCCATTCCCTTTGTATGCTGAAGTTTATATAAGAATCCATAAGAATTCTGTCTCTCCCCCACTCCTCCCCTCCGTGAAGTTTTCTTTCATTTTCCAAATTTCTACAATTTCAGACACTGAAAATCATTTGCACTTCAAATCCTTAACATTGGCTGTCTTCCCATTCCCTTGGTAATTTTGCCCGCTCCTTTTTTGGTGGCTAAACTTTATTTCTAACTGCTCAGTTTAAGTTGATACAATTCTAGGTATTTGCCATCTGAAGGACAATTTCATTTGGAGGTAGAATTCTTATTTGAGAGGCAGCCTTCTCATCCTGCAACTTACCCCAATAATGACATCCCTTCCGATAGTAATTAGTATTTGATCCCATTTGGCCAACCAGCTTTAGAGGGAATGTTTGACAACAAAAATACAGAAATATGGTGTCTGACTTAATTCTTCTTCTAAAGCCAGCAAAAACCAGAGTAAATATATGCAATGCATGCAAAGTTTTCGTTTATTTACACAAATTGCAGAATTCAACTCTTTGGAGGCAGAATGTATACACAGGTTGAGCCTAATCCAAAAGTCTCAAAAATTGAAACTTTGTTGCCAGCCTCCTACTTATTTCTGCCTCCCTTCTTCCTCCTCTACCTGCATCTATCACAGAATGTCCTTTGTGTCAGCAGGACTGCTGACCAATAATAATAATAATAATAATAATAATAATAATAATAATAATAATGCTTTATTTGTACCCCGCTACCATCTCCCAAGGGACTCGGTGCGGCTTACATGAGGCCGAGCCCAAAAACAACAATACAAGCAATTAAAATAAAACATGGACAATAAAATAACGAAACATAACAATAAAACAACACACAATTAAAACTAAGGGAAGGCCAAATGTAGAATTAAAATTGAGAATAATGCTGGAACATGGGCAAAAAAGTGATGGGGCATTTGTGGAAAACATACAAGCAGACCTAAAACAATGTAAAGTGCTTTGGAGGACAAAGTGCTATGGAATCATTATTCTGGGAAGGCACACTGGAACAACCACGTCTTCAAGCTCCTCCTAAAGACTGCCAGAGTTGGGGCATGCCTGATGTCCTTAGGAAGTGAGTTCCAGAGTCGAGGGGCCACCACCGAAAAGGCCCTCTCTCTCGTCCCCACCAATCGCGCCTGCGATGCAGGTGGGATCGCGAGCAGGGCCTCTCCAGATGATCGAAGAGATCGTGTGGGTTCATATACAGAAATGCGGTCACACAGGAAGGCATGACCGCATTTCAAAAGGTTGGCGGTTCAGATCCATGGAGCAGGATGAGATCCCGTCAGACAACTCCAGCTTCTTGTGTGGGGACATGAGATAAACCTCCCACATGATGGTAAAACATCCAGGCTTGAGAAATTTGCAGTTTCTCAAGTTGCTCTTGAAACAAAAGATCCAAACAAAACAAACAGGATGGCTGCAGAAAGAAGAGTGGCCAACTCACCTCGCCTTCTTGCTGTGGCTGCCATCACCCTTTCCTGTGTCCCTGTCATCCCCAGTAAGTCACCACACTGGTGACGGTGAGAGGAGGGCCATCTTACTCATCTCACACCCATGACAATAGTGAAGAGGGGGCAAGCTTGTTTTCTACTGCTGCTGAGATGAGAATGTGGAAAGGGAAAAGAGATTCCTAAATATTTGGAAGAACCTCATGATGGTTAGAGCTGTTTGACAATATTCTGCCTCTGGGTGTCGTGGAGTCTCCTTCTCTAGAGGTTTTAAGTAGAGGCTGTATGGCCATCTGTTGGGGGGTGCTTGGATTGTATGTTTCTGCATAGCCTTTGTGGTTTCTTCCCAATTTATGATTCTGTGACAACAGTGAAGTGATGGTGGCAGCAATGGCAGCAGTACAAAACCAGCTGCTTTGCTTCCTCGCTTGCTTTCCTGCCAGGGCTCATCCTCCCTGAATCATAGAATCACAGAGTTGGAAAATACCTTGTGGGCCATCCAGTCCAACCCCCTGCCAAAAAGCAGACATGATAACCTCCCTCCACAACATCACCCAAGGTACAAGGACATAGAATATGTATGTGTTGAAGGAGGAAAGGTTGAGCAAGAACAGCGCCATAGCCAACGAAGATGCTACCACCACTATCTCAAGCCAGAAGCAATTTAGGTAGGAAATAGATTTCTCACATAAACCTCTCTCACATCTCACTATATGCAGGATTCATATTTGGGTTTTTTATGTGAGTTAAGTGTTGACACGTGTGGCACGAGCTGGTAGTTGAAGTACCTTGAGGTTTATTTTAATTATATACCAATACAAGTATTCCAAAAGCTGAGAAAAGCCAAACTCTGAAACGCTTCTGGTGCCAAGCATTTCGAATAAGGGATGCTCAACCTGTGTAGACAAATAAATGCATTCTTAGCTAAAAATGCAGGTTCTAGCTCATTAATTTCTGGTTTATTAATGTGGTGTTTATGGATTTTGTGTTGTTTATTAATTGAACTGGTGTTTTCTTAATTTTGGGAATCAGAATTTATTGGTTTATGGAATATTATTGCAATTTAATTGCAATAATTTTTCACACTGTTTGGCTTTCATGTGAAAGTATTGTATTTCTTCTTGTATGAAGATATCTCTAGGCTTCCTTTGAAGGGAGAGGCAGGATACAAATGAGCTCATAAGGGCAGGATACAAATAACTGGTTAAAGAAGTACGCAATTTTTATTTATATACACATATGCATAATACACAGTATGCAGTGTATATAACACACTGTTCAGTTGCTTTTGGAGCTGAGCTATTAGTGTGTGCATTTATGTATATAAACATGTGTATGTCATGATATTGCATCTTGGTTTTTTTTTTGGGGGGGGGGGTTCCATGTCAGGAGCAATTTGAGAAACTGCAGGTTGCTTCTGGTGTGAGAGAATTGGCCATCTGCAAAGACGTTGCCCAGGGGACGCCTGGATGTTTTACCATCCTGTGGGAGGCTTCTCTCATGTCCCCGCATGGGAAGCTGGAGCTGACAGATGGAAGCTCACCCTGCTCCCTGGATTCGAACTGGCAGTCTTTCGGTCAGCAGTCCTGCCATCACAAGGATTTAACCCATTGCGCTGCCGGAGGCTCCTACTGTCATTCTTTGTGGGTGCATATGTGAAAATGTCAATTCTGGATTGCTAAAATAGATTCTCTGATGGTTCAATGTATTGTCGAAGGCTTTCATGGCTGGAATCACTAGGTTCTTGCGGGTTTTTTCGGGCTATAGGGCCATGTTCTAGAGGAGAAATGCCTCTAGAACATGGCCCTATAGCCTGAAAAAACCCACAAGAACCTCTCTGATGGTTGTTTATGTAAACTTCCTTAGATCAGTGGAGTACAAACAGTTGAGTCTGATGATGTCGGTGTCATGATAAGAGTACAGAGAGATCTATAGTTGGTCATCGGAGGTCAGTCCTAGGCCTCTGTATCAGAGTTGAGATTAGTTAGTGGTGACTTTTGAAAGTAGAGCCTTCTCAGTCTTTCTAAATTAATTTCCTCTGAAAGGCCTATCAGCTACTCTACTGGGATTTGGAGATGAATTATGGAATTGTGTGACAGATGTAATGGTATTTCTGCCACTGATATTTGCATTGTTCTATTTTAGGCTTATTATGCCATTTATTATTGTAAGGTAGCTATTTCAAAAATGTATTAATTTGATTAATTGAGAATCGCTCAGCTTGAGCACTTCTGGGTGGGAGGTGGAGAGTGAAAAGCAAGATATCGTACAAGTGAAAAATAGGTCAGCGATAGCTAGATGGCTGTACTTCATATCACCAGCATCTTGACAGCCACTGATTTGGCAGGATTTGTATAGGGATCTTTATATAAGAATCTTGACCAACCAGAAGTTTAGCGCAAACAACATCAACTATCCCGTGAGAGATGGTGCTATAGAAGTAACAATATCCCACAGTCTTTTTAAAACTATCATTCCTTTGGTGCTACTGAATTGCAGAGACCTTTCTTTGCAGAGTCTAGTGGGGGAAACTATTGAAAGTGACATTAAATGTCTTCTCTGACCTCCCATTCTCAACTTCTCTTCTTCTCTTCTCTAGGTGTTTACGAAATATGGGAAGTGCTACATGTTTAACTCAGGCGAAGATGGGCATCCTCTGCTGACCACATTCAAGGGTGGGACAGGCAATGGCTTGGAGATAATGCTGGACATTCAGCAGGATGAATACTTGCCAATTTGGGGAGAAACAGGTAAGAAGGAAAATATTTTGCCTATCTGCCTAACGTTCTCCATTGTGAGGTTCTCTTTTTCTCGCTTGCCTTTTCTTCTTATGCAGGATCTAAGATGGCTTTCCAGAAATTAAAAATGGTACAACTGACAAAAAGTATATGTACAAAAGTTTAAAATCAATTTAACAGCAGTTTAATTCTTCTGAGAGTTTTTTTTTATTTTGTCTTCTCTGGTATGGTTGAGACAGGGACTGTACAACAAAGGATGTATCTACACTGTAGAATTAATGCAGTTTGACCCCACTTTAATAGCCATGGCTCAATGCTATGGAATCCTACAAATTGTAGTTTGATTAGGTCCCAGCACTATTTGATAGAGAAGGCTAAGATCTTGTAACACTACAGCTTTGAGCCATTGTAACTAAAGTGATAGTACTGCATTAATTCTGCAGTATAGCTGTACCTAAAGAGACACGGAAAGGCTGGCCCAGATCTCCTTGATAGTACACATTACTTACTTACTTAGGCAATCTCTTGTAGCTTGAGGATTATTGTCTTCCAGATGTGGTGTCTTGGCAGCGGGTCTGTAGGTGTTCTCTCATAGTGAGGACATCAGTTTCCAGACGGAAGGCAGTCCCGGTCAAGGTTGGCTTTACGTGCCTTCCTCTTGGCACCTTTCTCCCTCCATTTGTGCATCTTCAAATTCTGCAACACTGCCGACCTCCAGCTAGAGCACTCAAGGGCCAGGGCTTCCAAGTTTTCAGCATCTATGCCACAGTTTTTGAGGTTGGCTTTAAGCCCATCTTTATATCTCTTTTCCTGCCCATCCACATTCTGTTTTCTGTTCTTGAATAGAGTAATTGCTTTGGGAGACGGTGATTGGGCATTCAGACGGTGTGGCCAATCTGGATGGGGAAAGGGATAAACTCACCCACAACTACAGGCTCATTTCTATCTATCTATTCTGGCTGCTTTCAAAATAAATGCAGAGACGTAGAAAAATCATGGATCTCCATCTAATTTAGCACTTAGAAGCTGCTCAATATTCCTCAGCTGACGGAGTTGATGGTGGAGGAGCATCGCTTCAGTGCTGGTGGTCTTTGCTTCCCAAGAGATTTGCAGGCTTTTTCAGAGGCAGCACTGATGGAATTATTCCAGGAGTTGCGTATGACATCTGTAGACAGTCCACGTTTTACAGGCATATAGCAGGGTTGTACACATACAGTTTAGAACAATATTTTTTTCTGGTATGGGAAATGCAAAAATGTGAGACAAAGAAAATAAAAGAAAGATGAAAAAATGTTTTCTTTATTTACTGCACTTCTATCTTGCCCTTTTCTAGTGAAGCTGATTTAATGGCAAAACACACAACAAAGGTAGGCTGGGCTGAGAAATTGCTACTTGCCCAAGGATCTTCATGAATGAGCCACGATTTTTCATCTGCCTCGGTTTAAGCCAGACCCTTCTTTTACCATCCTTCACTGCGCTTTGCTCAACCAAAGCTGAGGAATATTGAGCAGCTTCTAAGTGCTAAATTAGATGGAGAGCCATGATTTTTCTATATCTCGGCATTTATTTTGAAAGCAGCCAGAACAGGTATTTGGGATTAGATAGAAATGAGACTGTAGTTGTGGGTAAATGAGTTTATCTCTTTCCCCATCCTGATTTTCATATGTAGTCCTTTCACAGCCTTTCATCAAGCTGCTATTTCATATCTTGGGGATATATATATATATATATATATCCCCAAGATATGAAATAGCAGCTTGATGAAAGGCTGTGAAAGGACTACATATGAAAATCAGGATGGGGAAAGAGATAAACTCATTTACCCACAACTACAGTCTCATTTCTATCTAATCCCAAATACCTGTTCTGGCTGCGTGTGTATATACGCGTGTGTGTGCAGCCATTTCCTTACTTTTAGTTGGATGGATAGACTTTAACAAGTAAGTCATGGCCTGACTTCGCAGGAGCTGAACTGGGTTATTCTTGACCTGCACTCTTGGATGTCTTCCATTCATTGAACCACCATAAGTCAAATTGGACTTCATGGTAGGTAACAACAACCATGTTGATTAAATATCTTCAATATCTTATTTGGTCCCAAATTGATGAGAAGGTTCACCAAGGTGGTATCTCTTTTGTTCGGAGTTTTCAAAATATGATTTTAGGTGGTATAAGTTCAAGACGATTCTGATACTGGGTGTTGGTTTCCGGCAGTTGGTGACAGCCCATACTAAGCTCTCACTAAGGATGTAATCTGCACTATATTTTAATTTTTGTGTGGAACGACCTCCATGTCTTCTGATTCTTAATGCAGTTGTTCAAGCTATGAGTTCTTCTTAGGAGACCAGGCAGCTATCAAACCAGGAACTCTCCAAATCAGGAGTTATGTAAACCTTGAATAGAATTGCTAATGATCGGAAATCTTGAAGGTCTCTCATTCTTAACACCATTATTGGTCGAAGCCAACTTCCATGCTCTTAAAGCTGTGGAATATATGACTTCAGTTCCCATTCATCAGCAATGGCCAGCTTAATAAGTGAAGGGGGTGATGAAACTTGCAGTGTAGTACTATGTGCAGACCACATCCCTGGCCTACGCCCAATAATGCTGTGAGTAGCAGATAGTACAACTAGAGACACTGATTGACCTGGTCCTGATAATCACATGGCATTCAAAGAGCTATACCCCTCAACATTGCTCTGCTCTCTAAACAATGCTACAAATGGGTTCTTTGCTCCTTGTTCTGTGGCTGAGGCAAGCCTCATTGTCAGAGCAGCACAATCTGTGGCACAAGTGAAGTGCTCAACCTGCTTAGTGCTATCCAAACACTTTCACATGTTTTATTTTAATAATGAGGATCAGCTATATTGGTTACCATAGCAACACTTAATTTGGCTCTTGGCGCACAAGATAAAAAAGAGAGTTGAAAGTGTCCAAATATTAGAGTTAAAATACAGAGTGGGTTGGGCATGGAATCTACTCAAGCAAGATGTGGTATAGAGAAGCTTTGAACCTTTTTAGTTGCCCTCAAAGCACCTTTTCCCCCTGATCAACCCTGGGTAAAAAGCAAGGTTCGGGACTGTAAGTTGAATCCCTTCTGAAAACACACGAGGCAGTAGGTGGATCTAAAACTTGCTGCTTGCTGTGAATTTGCTCAGCAAGTTTGGGCCTGGTCTTTTAGCTCCTGCTTCAGTTCCTATCCCCTTTCTTGGTCTGCTGCATTGGGGCAATAATGCCTCTCTGACACTAGGGAGGTCGAGTTGGAACACTGCTTGCTGTGCAGGATAATGATAATAATGTTCATTTGTAGGATTAACATAACTCAAAAACCACTGGACAAATTGACACCAAATTTGGGCACAAGACACCTATCAGGCCAATGAGTGGCCATCACTCACAAAAACTCTGAAAAACACAAGAAAGGGGACTTAAAAAGCCAAAACCTCAAAAAGATGGTACAGCACATGTGCAGAAACAATTCCCCCAGCAAACAAAACACACAATAGCATATCCACACTCTCTTCCGGACTACAACTCCCAGCATCCCCTAGACCAGCCCCTTTAGGAGAGGAGGGTGATCCAAATGCACTGTTTCCAAGATGCAAGCTTTCTTCTCCTTGGATTTCTTTGAGAGCATCCCAATCCCTGCATATTTCCAATTTCCTATTCCTGGACTGCAATTCCCAGCAATCCTCCAGATAGATAGATTAGATAGAGGTAGGTAGGTAAATCAATCAGGAGGACTGCTGGGAGTTGCAGTCCAAGAATAGGTAGAGAAGGAAGAAAGGGGAGAAAGAAGAAGAGAAAGAAAGATAGATAGATAGATAGATAGATAGAGATAGATAGAGATAGAGAGAGATAGATAGATAGGATATAGATAGATAGGTAGATAAGTAGATAGATAGATAGATAGATATAGATAGATAGATAGATAGATAGATAGATAGATCAGGAGGACTGCTGGGAGTTGCAGTCGAGGAATAGGTAGAGAAGGAAGAAAGGGGAGAAAGAGGAAGGGAAAGAAAAGTTGGGGGTGGGGAACGAAGGGAAGAAAAAGAGAAGGAAGGAAGGAGAGAAAGAAAAAAGGGAAGGAAGGTGGGAGGGAAGGAAGGAGAGAAAGAAAGAAGAGAAAGAGGGAGGGAAGGTTGGCTACAGCAACGCGTGGTGGGTACAGCTAGTAGTAGTAGTAGTAGTAGTAGTAGTAGTAATAATAATAATAATAACTTTATTTATATACCGCTTTATCTCCCCGAGGGCACTCAGAAGATATATTAACAAAGCAATATAAGCATAAAAATCACAGTAGCGTGCGCGCACACACACACACACATATATATATTCCTGCCTTTTCAAGGCAAAAATAAAAAGGTTGGGCAATTTTTAGAGGGTCCGGGAAATTAGGTGCAATGCTATAGCAGGCAACAACAATATCACACCCATTCTGCAGGTACTATTAAGAAGAAGTCACCATGTGATCCTGTACTGCATATAGTGAGCTGCTACCTGCACTTTGCAATCATGTTCAGACTATAGAAATCTACTTTAAAAAATATTTCATCATATAGCTTCCCAGAATGCCCGCTCCAATAGCTCAAATTTGCAGGAAAAATGTGATAGTGCTTCTGTATTCTGGTCAGGCTACAGGTGAAATGTCCCTTGAGGAGATAGGGCAGAATATAAATAAAGTTTTTTTAATTATTATTATTATTATTATTATTATTTATAGAATCATTCATTTACATTTAATGTTAATAATTAACAAATGTCGGGCTGAATGATCAGCCCCCCACACATTTTCACCTCACCAAATCTGGCCTTCTTCACAAAAAGTTTGGATACCCCTGAGTTATATGATTTTGTAGTTCTTTCATTCCACTTCTCATTTCTTTTTAGACTCTTTGAGGAAAGACAGTGTTTCAAAATCCAAAAATGGTTTAAGTTTTGAAACAGAAAAGATGTCCTTCAAAATACCCCAAAGAATTTTCACTCAACAAAAGTAACAAGAAGAAGTA